CGATATCGTCTTCCTCGCGTGTAGGTGTGCAGGCTGGCCTACGAACTGCTCAGTGCTAGGAACCACAACGCCAGCATGTGTGCGTCAACGATCGACCAAAGTTACTACTTTGGCGGTGGCCGTATGAACTGGCGGCGGGCGCTCTACCCTCACAAGCCGACCTGGAGCGATCAGATCCCGCTCTCACCTGGTGACATCATTGTCGGCGAAGCCACGAACCTAAAGAACGGTTACTCAATGGGCGTGAACAGCAACAGCAGCAGCGCCAGGGAGGCAGCTTTCCCCACCTATAAGGTCCAGACGCTCGTGCGGTCAGCAAAGTTACCATCGCATACGGCTTTTCGAGCACGAGGTGGTGCCTCTGTCGGCGGACGTGGTGCCGGCGTGGCTCCCCGTCCGCGATTATAGAGGGCGTCCCGTGACGTTTTCCTTACGTGGATATGGCGAGGTGGATTAATTCTAATCTGACGGATCCCTCGAAGCTTGCGTTGTTGCTCGGGTGCTGCATGGGCGTCCGGCTGTTGATATTGTACCTGTATGCATATACATTTTATTATTATTATTAAATCTTTATTGGATGTAATTATGATACAAATACATGTACTGACGACAGTTTTTTTCATGGAAAAAAATCTGATAACAGCAATAGTGTTGAGTTGTTAAAATGATAAAATTACTCACAGGCACTTGGAGCGTTTCAATAAAATATAATGCTAAATAAATACGAAATCTATTTACTACCAAAGTCTTAATGTTTCTCTAGTCCTACCCTCTCACCTATTATTGCCGACAATTTCCTGTAGATGCCGTCCAAATGCTCATCTGCAACACACGCTGGCTGCTGCACGCTAGCTGCTGCACACTGACATTAATATATATTATGTGTCCGTGTGCTGCATGGGCGTCTGGCGACTCAAAGCCATATCGACTCATATGAGTTGTATTGTTGATATTGTACCTGTATGCATACATTTTATTATTATTATTAAATCTTTATTGGATGTAATTCCGATACAAATACATGTACTGACGACAGTTTTGTTCATGGAGAAAAAATCTGATAAAAGCAATAGTGTTGAGTTGTTAAAATGATAAAATTTCTGACTGATACAGTACAATACAATGCTATACAACATGAAGAAAAAATATATACAAAAAAAAACTTCAGCATATTCTGTACTAGTAAAGTGATTTTAAAAGGTAAGTGTTGAGTAGTTAAAATAATGTTTTTCTGTGTGTGTGTGTGTGTGGGTGTGTGTGTGTGCGTGTGTGCGTGCGTGCGTGCGTTCGTGCGTGCGTGCGCGCGTGCGTGCGTGCGTTCGTTGTACTCACAGGCACTTGGAGCGTTTCAATAAAATATAATACTAAATAAATACGAAATCTTAATGTTTCTCTAGGCCTACCCTCTTTCACCTATTATTGCCGACAATTCCTGTGAATGCCGTCCAACGAACTCCAAATAGCTCATCTGCAACACACGCTGGCAGATGTGTTGCAGATGAGCTATTTGGGGCGCATTTACAGGAAATTCTGTCGGCCAACTAATAGTGAAAGAGGTAGAGAAAATTAAGACTTTGGTAGTTGAGTTAGATTTTCGTATTTATTTAGCATTATATTTTATTGAAACGCGTCCAACTGCCTGTGGTTGCGTACGGCCTTTGCTTGTGCTCGCTACTTACCAGGTGTGTGATCGGAGATAGGAACGGACTTCATTGTGATGAGGCGGCTTTTGACAAGGGTCTCCGGGAAATCGCCAACGGACACCGAGGTATGGTGGGGTTCTAGCTTCTACTCCGCGCTTCCATCCCACGCAGCAACACGGAAGAAGTGCAGTGCGCAGGCTTCATTATCGCCAGCAGGAGGAAGCCAATACCTGCGGGTACTTGTAGTTCGAGTCGGAGACTGCGTGTCGGATTCATGTACTCAGCTAATGAACGGCTTTTTTATTAACGAGGCAATATCATCACGCAGATGACCTAATAGGTGTACAGAAGAAGATCGCTGTTGTGCTGTGGGATGTTAATTGATATTGATTTTCTGGCGCTCATAGGCTATGTTTTCATTGCTATCTGCGTGCTACATACTGCGCCACTCCGCTCTCGATATGTCGTCGGTGGCGCCACGACCACGCGGCATAGCGTGATTTTTTTTCCTAGTCAATCAAGAACATAGTGGCTGTAATGAGCGCTGCTATTTGGTTGAGCTTGTTTTTCCCGCAATATACATAGCACATGCAAAACTAGTATTCACGATATGACTCGATAGCCTAGCGCGTATAACGCTGGCGCAATCGCGACAAGTATGAAAGGTCGGAGGATCGAATCCCGTCGTTTTCTAATTATTTTTCTGTTTTCTGTATTTTTTCTATCTTTATCTGTTTAACATTTTTTCCCCAATTAACGCAAATATTTACATTGATTTATTTACAACATTTAATAACAGCAATAATTTTACAACAATAAAATTACAATTTTTCTATATG